GGGCCGCCCCTGCCACACTCACGCAGAGCGCCGGGCGCTTGGTGGGCGAGTCCTGGCGACAGTGTGAGCTGTGGATCCGGTGCCTCTGAACCAGCTCATCAGCAGAGGGGTCTGTCCAGAAGTGGTCGGCGGTCTTCATCTTCGTGTACTCCAGCGCGCAGGGCCCCACTGAGCAGAGAAACCACAAACATAAGGAAGCCATCCGTGTTGTCCCAGTGACTGTGGTCACCTCTTGGAGCTGCAGAGCCCAGGGTGACCGTGTAACAGCAGCAGAGAATGCAGAGGGGTCAGGCAGCCCTGGCAGGGAGCAGATAACCCACTGCCTGATGGATCATGCGCGCTGCAGCACCATGCTGCTTCCCAGACCCCAGCCTCAGCTGCTTCCCAGACCCCAGCCTCAGCCCTGCTTCATGCCCATCAGTACAACTGAAGCTTGTGCAAGAAAAGGAAAGCCCAAAGCTCAGCTTTGCCACTCTCCATCTCTATGCACGGCTCAGCAGCAGCACACCAGGAGGTCTTGAAAAGTGCTCCCTGGCCAGGGCTGTGAAGTTTTCTGAAGTTCTTACCAGAAAACAACTGCATTTCACATCCCAGATCACAGAACTGGGAATACAGGTTTGGAAAGCAAGCTATCAAAGCAGGACAAGAGGAAAGTGTTACCCAATAAAGATGCAAGAATTGGCCCGTCCACAGGATCCATCAGGAGAGCTTCTTTCTCATAGAACTTACTAGAAGAAATAAAAGCAGGATCTGTAGCACTTCAATCCCCAGGGACTACGCAACGGTTTTAAATCACTGGGATGCCCTTCTCTTTCTGTATCATTCCTCGATGGCGAGAGGACAAGAAGCCCTTAAGGGGCTGTTCCTGCTGGCTGTGAAGCTCCTGGGGAACAGATGCCCACAGCAGCACACTGCAAGCACCACCATCTCCTAACAACATCCCCCCCCAGGCCTGGAGATGACACTTCCCCAGGACAGGACACCCCAGCATGCAGTTTCCAGAAGACAAGGCCAATGCAGTCCCTGACAACCCAGCCATCATAGAGCAAGTGTGGCCTGTCTTTAACTGAGGGACTGTGTGGTGGCCACCAGCAGCAGGTATCAGACTCCCCGTGATGGGCACAGAGTGACACAACTGGCCTGTCCCATTCTCTGGCCCACTTGGACACAGCTCAGGCAGCAGCACCTCCAGCCCCATCAGAAGGGGCAGATGCTGCTATTGAGTTGGGACGGTGAAACAGGGGGTCTTTGCCAGCACTCACCTGCTGTTTTCTACCAAGTAATGAACGATCTTATCCAGGACCTTTTCAAAGAGGGCTGTGCGGATCCAGAGGTGCTTGATGGCTTGAGGAGACAGGTTGGGCAGCTTCGGCATCTTGCGCACATTCTCCGGGATGCCCTGGACTTGATTTCGTCTTTAGAGGTACAAGGGAAAAGACAACAACATCACTGAGCACTGCAGGAGCCCGGGGCACCCACAGCACCCTGAGGGACATGAGGCCATGTCTCAGTGCTGCTGACTGGTGCTCAGGGAACCGCAGGGGAACAGGGCTCTGGACACCCGTCCCTTCATCTCTTCCACCCCCTGCTCCAGAAGACCCACATCTGCATTTGAAACCAGACTTCAGTAAATCAGTTTCCCACTGTACAAGCCTCTGCCTCAGCAGGGTCCTCCAGCCCACACTCCTTTTCCACTGGCGCCTGAGGACAGCAGTTCACAAGCAAAACAGCTTATCTTAGGACAGCACTAAAGATTTCTGCCCCCAGGCAGCTCCATCCATCTCCCTGGTTCCTGTCCAAGGATGAGTAAGCAGTTCCCAGACAGAAGCTGAATTACTGCAGGTTGAAGCCCTGCACACCGAGGCAGACCAAATTTGGTTCCAGCTGGCTTAGTGCTCTGGTCCATCAGCTGTGACAGTTCAGGAGCAAACAGGCTGAGCTGTCCCCGAGCACGAGGAAGTAAGAACTTGTCCATCCCAGCTTAAACCACAACTCACTAGAAAAGCAACTCATTCAGTCAAGCTATCAAAAGCCCAGGACAGGGCCCTGCTCCACCGAAGGAGCAATCCCTGCTGCAGAGGCTGAAGTTGGACACTGCGATCCACAGCCATACCCAACCCACGCTCCCACCCCAAACCACAGCGACCTGAGCGGTGACAGCGGTGCTGGTGCCTTACGCGTTCTCGATGAGCTGCTCCAGGTCTTGCACCTTCCTGCAGAGCTCCTCTGCCAGGGGAAAGCTCTTCCCCACCTTCATGAAGAGAGCTGCTATCTTGTTGCTGCGCAGGAACCCCGCTGCGCGCCGCTTCAAGCCGAACAAGACGCAGGCCTCCACCGCCGCTGCAACAGAGCAAAGACATCACTGGAGCAGCAGGAGAAGCTGGAGCTCACATCCCAACAGCCGGTCTCCTGCTCGGCGCGCCGTGCCACCCAAAGAAAGCCCCAGCCCCCCACCGCCGCTGCAACAGAGGAAAGACATCACTGGAGCAGCAGGAGAAGCTGGAGCTCACATCCCAACAGCCGGTCTCCTGCTGCAGCTGTGCCCTTACTCCAGAGCAGACACGCTTCCCAAGAGGACACCAGTGCCATGTTCCGCTCCTGCCTAAGCAGACAGGAGATTAGGGAATGCAGATGTCTTCTGACCCAAGCAGCAGGCAGCAGCACGGCTTTTCTGCCTGCAGACCATGGCTTTTCTGCCTGCAGACCATGGCTTTTCTGCCTGCAGAACACGGCTTTTCTGCCTGCAGAGGCATCAGTTCTGCTGAACAGAGGCACCATTTTAGCTTTGCAAAACAGAGGAAGAAAAACCAAGGTTGGTGAAGCCTATTGGAAGTTCTGCTAATCTGAACAAAGTAACAAGCTGGATGGAAGTAAATGTGAACAGTGGATGTGCCAAGATGTAAGTACTTCAAAGGAGAGTTAACTTGTGCCTGCTGATATAGATCCAGAGTCTCCATGAAGCCACCTAAGGGACTAGTCAGGCAGCCTAAATTGTCTTGTACTCACTTATCTGACCAACCAACAGCCTAAAGAGCCCTTCCTGGACTGGTGATGAAATGGGAACGTGCAGCTTTCAGCCCACAGAGGTGGCACCTCCGTGCCACCAGCAGTGAGCAGCCTGGGTCAGGGCTTCTTGGAGCACTTTGCTCATTCATAAAACAGAGCAGGAGAGAGGACTCTGATCACTGTGCTCCCAGCCTCTGTTCCAAAACACCAGGATCCGCCTCTGCTACACAACAACCTCAATGCAAACAGATCAATGCTAATGCTGGAGAACCTCAGCACACAAGGAGGTGACATCCTGCTGCCAGGTCTGTGTCAGCACGATCGCTGTGGTGTCCCCAGCAGAGCAGGGACCGGCTCATCGTGTGGCCATAAGTGATCACACAACCAGGAGCTGCTCATGCAAAGTCACTCAGGTCCAGCTTATGGGAATAAACAGCTTGTGGTTTAACAGCTTGAAGCCGAGTGTTGCTGGGGCCACTGGACAGAGGGTGGCTTTCGCAGGGTCACTGTGGAAGGGCACCAGACTTGAGGTCCCTCTGCTCACTCAACACACGAGCCCCTCTTCCTCTCCAGTGCGCACATCAGTCCAGCCACATCCTCCATCAACAGGCGAGATGGAAGGACGGGATGTGAAACTTCCCAGACAATACATTTTAAGGCACAGAACCTCCCCAGCTGGCCTTCAGGAAAGCGTCCTCATCAGACATGCAACAGCCAACTAGCAGGGGCACTGCTGGTGCAGGGAGTGAGGCGAAGCCTTGCACCGGTACTTACCTGCACTGTGGTTTGGTGAGTGCAGCAGCACAAACCACAGCAAGTGCTCAGCACCAGCTCCCTGCCCAGCTCCACAGCGAGCAGCAGCCCAGGATCTGGCTCTGCTGGTGATGGGTGACGGCAATGACTCCACAGAACGATACGCACACGTCCAGCAGTCTGTGTGCTGGAGTCCCCTGGGATGCTCAGGATGGATGTCTGGTGTCAAACACAGACTTATTAAACAGGCTGATCAAAGCCCTGGAAAATTACACAGACCCACAGCTCTGCAGGGTATTGATCTGGGTCTGACAAGCTCTCTGGTGCACCAGCACCCCTCCTTCCCCAGGAGCAGAGCCAGCCACGCTGAGCCTCCCCTGCAGCAGCCCAGCAGATGCTGATCCACCTCTCGCCTGCACAGGCTTTCTTCCTACAGCTGAACAACTCTGGAGACATGAGAAAGGACCACTGCATGCAGACCCATCAACATCAGCTCCTGGGGCTGTGAGATGCTCTCATTATCTCTGCCCTGCTTAGTGCCAGGCCCGAGTTCACTGCGGAACAGGCAGCATCCGAGGTGCTGCCAGCCACATCCTGATGGCCAAAAGGCCTCCCAGCTCACTCCAGCAAGACACAGCAGTCATCAGCACCTCTGCTCAACACCATGGCCTCATCCTCTTCCAGACTCTATTCCTGCTGGCAAAACAACATGTAAATGTGCAGTATTCTTAGGAAAAACTCTCCCTGTGCTTTCCCAAGGGCTTTAGAGGCTTCAGCACATAAAGAGAGCACCTTGTTCACGCTCAATGCAGCAGTAATGGTAGTTTCTTTCTTAACCTTGTGATTTTCTGAGCCTAGTTCATAACCTACAGTCACCACTGCAAAGAGACACTGAAGAGATTCTCCCCATCCCATAGGACACAGGTACAGCAGAGACACACGGCGCAGGGGCTCTGGGCAGCTACACGCAGGTGAGGAGGGAGTTTTGATTCCTGGCAACAGACTACAGATATTTCTGAGAGCTCCCTGGCCTGGCACGATTCAGACCACTCGGGTTGAGCAATAAGGCAGACCCAGCACTGATATGGACAACAGACCCTCGGCTCACACAGGCTCCCAGCCCTGCCGCCAGCTCCTCATCAGCATCCCAGAGCAGTGTGAAGGTGACAGATGCCAACTCGTGTTTGTCTGCTTCCAGCCTTTCCCCTGAGGCAGAGCGGGGCCGCTGGGGGCAGCTGCCTTTTCCTGCCACACCACTGGGCTCATCACAGGGCTCTGAGGTTCACTGGTTGCGCAGAGGAGGAGGAGGAGGAGGGCTCTGCGAGGAAGGCAGCTCTCCCCAGAGGAAAGGGCAGCTCTGCCCAGCCAGAGCCAGGCTCGCAGCACGCTCTGCTTGGCAGGGAGAGACGTAATTGACCTCTCATGCAGAGCCAGAACACCGAGGAAGGCGCACAGACCATTCCAATGAGAGGGCAACAGCAGAAGGTGCAGACACCAGAAGCCCCTGGAAGTGCAGCAGCATCATTAAGAAGCCAGAAGGAGCCATGGAGCCCCTCGTGCCTGGATGCCTCAGCTCCGAGCCGCAGGAGCCTATAAATAATTCCAGGCTGTGAAGCCTCGTGCTGCACAGAAAAGCAGAAAATGAGTCACACCTTGAAGCCTGTTCTGCTCTTTCGATGCCATTCTGCATACAAAGGCACACGGGCCTGGAACAGGCATCTGCATGTCATTTGTGCGAGGGCCCAAGAGAAAAGGAAGGTGGCAGCATCTCTGCTCTCCAAAGCAGAGAACAAGACCTCACAGCTCCCTTCCACTTCTGTTTTGTTCCTGTGTCTGTGGATGCTACAGCCTTACTCAGTGGTGACAGTGCTGCACGAGCCTTCTCGGAGCAACGCCTTCAAAAGGCAGTTGTCATCACTCCTCTCATTTTCTTCCCAGCCTCCACATTAGAAGCTGCCCTTCAGCTCTCTGTGAATTGAGGAGCTCTGGTCCCCTCCACGCGCTGCTGGCAGTTTTTGCTCAGCAGCAGCCCCACGGCCCCAGCCTGGGCGTGCTGATGTGCCTGTACCCCAGCAAACAGCCCTGCTGAGAGCAATGGGCACAGCAAGAGCATCAGGCTCCGGACGGGCACAGGCTGCCATCCCCTCACCTGGGATCCAGGGCTCCTGGTGTTGGAGCAGAGGTTCCCCGGTGGCTTCAGGCGCAGGACAACAGGGGAGTTTCTTGCTTTGCCCTTTAAAGAAACTTGCTCAACCTGGAGTGCTCCCTCCCAAGGCCCTCTCAGGTTTGCAGGGACAACCAGCATCCCTCCCTTAACGCTGCTTCTCTTCAGAAAGCAGGGAGGGTTTCCCAGCAGCTCTGTGCCCTGCAGGAAGGAACACGGTTTGGTTCTGCCATCTATGAGCTTTGCAGAGGCAACTGCTGGCCTGGGAAGGACCCTGGTCTCAGGGGTTCATATTGCACAGCACAAGGGCCAAGGAGGTGGCCGGGATCTGCTCCAGGGATTCCCTACAAACCTGCAGGACCAGGATGAGCAGGAAGGCCATGGCTGTTCGGAATGCTCAGGACATGGGAGAACACACATCACCTGCAGTCCATGGCAGAGCTGTGCAGCACCAGCACTGCAGCCCTTGTGCTCAGCCATCACCCTCTGTTGCCATAGACACTACCGGGAGCTGGGAGCGCCGGCACCAGGCGGAAAACATGGGAGCCACGGCTGGAAAACTGGTGAGCGGGCAGAGGGAGCACAGCTTCCTCCAGCAGAGCTACAGGGAGGCCAGAGGGCACCAAGGGACTTTTCTTCTTCCATAGTGGTCATTTGTGTCTCCCAAAACCAGTGTCTATCTCTCAGACAGCTGCCAGGGAGGAGGCAGAGGCAGATGGAGGGCACCACGCACCTTGTCAAAGCACAGTCTCAAGCTCTGGGTGAGCAGGTAAACACTTGACACTGCCAGAGCACAGAAATCACAGCTCATGTGTATGATTAATGCCCCCATGGCCCCAGCTCCATCCCACCTGCATCCACCCCCGAAGGGCTAAGGAATTTCCTTATCCATGCAGCAGCTCGCACAAAGGGCCTGTCCCATGCCCAGAGCTCCTGGGCTACAGCCTCCTCACTCATCCAAGGGACAGCAGGGTAAGCACTTCAGGCTTGAATGTCATCACACCCCCCGAGCCTGAGCCAGGCAGATGGGGTGGCTGAACCTGCTGAAGAAGCTGCTTTACCTGGGCATTAACTGGGTCTGAGGCAGACGCTCACCCTCCCCTGTGAACGGTGACCAAAGCGCACGCAGGACACGTGTCACAGGCAAAAGCCAGCAGCTCCTCGGGGAGGTTTTAGAACACAAAATCTCTGCCAAGATTTTGACGGATCCATTCTGAAACACTTCCACATTCACAAAACTGTCACACCAGAAGCAGAAACAGAGATGAAGAAAGCAGCTTAAGTGTGAAGCACAGCTGCCAGGGACCAAGCCTGAAACCGGCGCAGTAGCAGAGCACATCTCCCACCAACTCCACTTACAATTCCTTCGCAGCCTCCAGCCTCTCTGCTCCTGCACTGGGGCAGACTGGAGGCTCCTCTCCATAAATTCCTGTTCTGTCACAGCAAAGAAATATTTAGACTTTCTGTTGAATTACTTCTCAAGGGAATTAAAAATAAAACATTATTTCTAGTATTTCCCAAGTACAGTGCCAACACCCCGCCCTCGTGACACATCTCCGTGTATTTTAAGCACAAAGCAAAGGCCTCAGGGACTCAGACCATTGCCAGAACAACTCATCCTCCTCCAGCACCAACCACCTCCCCAGTGCTGGAATCACACGTACCACAGCCCTGGATCCCAGCATGGAGAGGGTGCTCCAGCCCCAGCCCACGCCAACATCCTGCCACCAGGCACTCACCACAGAAGGAGATGATGTGGCTGCTGTCCTCGTGCACAAACTTCCTCGTCACCGCCTCCTCCATGATCTGTTTTACCTGTTGAGCAGAGGCCCCGTTAGAGAAAACATTGACATTTCAGCCATAGACCAGAGCGAGGAGATATGTGGTGGAGATGCTCTGCTTGCTTCGTGGCTGAAGGAAGCTATCTCAAAAAGCCAGGTATAACAAAAAAGGCTTGTTTTGGTTTTGAGAAACTTCAGAGTAGGAAAACTATGAGCAGAGAACTAGCTGTGGGAATCGAGCATCGTTCAGGTAAGAGACACCACGTTACTGGCACTCATTTCAGTGCCATTAGTCAAACAGAAGCTGTCACACCAGGGGCACGATGAGGGGAAGAAAATAAATAGGAACCCACATAAATTGGGAGCTTAATTTTTGCACGGACAAGATGGGAGTTTGGCTCAGGTGCAGAGGACAGACTGCAGCCCCAGAGGAGCTCCCAGGACTGCCTGCCTGCTCCACAGAGGAGCCTGAGGAGCCCCAGGACCACCACTCTCAACACAAATGGCTCCTCCCAGTGCCCACAGGTTGGGGGAATTCTGCTCACGGTGGGATTCCAGGGTGGGATTCCACATGAAACACCTTTAAAGCTGGATGATGGGGGGGAATATGGTCCTGTGATCAGGGCAGAGGTGAGCAGGGAACGCAGAGCAGCTCTGAGAGGTTACCCCCACACCTCCGTAGGATGTGGGAGCTGCACGTGAGACACGTGGAGTTTAGTGTTCAGGGAGGCTTGAGCCTTGCTCAGAAAGTGCTGGAGAAGTAGGTGTTGTTAATGGAGGAGGCAGCTCTAAACTGATGGCCTCATGCTCTGCCCACCATGTTCAATTCCCAACTGCTTTTCCTTTTAAACACTGAGCTGCTGGCGTGCCCAGATCGCTTCTTCTGGTGCCACTGTAACATCTTGCTTTTCACTCTGGTTTCAGAAATTACAAGGGAAAGGGTTCATGGTGCAGAGATGTGGGTGTTAGAGCAGTTCTGCTTATCAGGATGTTCTTTCTGAAGGCACAGGGAGGAGAAAAAAACCAGGAGGTCCAGCCTTGGCCAAGCAAACCTTGCATTTAATAGCATCATTTGGGGAATTCAGCTCCTCTGCAAGATACAATCAAGGTCAGTTATGCACAGCTGACAGCTCAATAAAGGAAATCCTTTTACGAATATGGATCAAGGCAAAAAGTCCTGTCTAAAGCCAAAGCATCTCCCCACACGTCCGAGCCATCAGGGCAGCTCCCAGGGCGGCTTGGCCTTACCAGAGCACCCTCAGGCAAGGTGAGGGGAGGGGAGCAAGCTCTTGGTTTTGTTATGCCTCGTCTACAGTTTTGTACCGCTGCCATATGCTGAACACCACGGAAGGGAGTAACTACAACCCTCATTCAGGCTTCACAGCTTTTAATTATGATTTGAATATTCTCATTTGAATATATTCCAGTTTAAGCAGTGCAATATTTGCCAGCCACCTTTGGCACGAGCATCCTCTCACTGTTGCAATGCAATACCCGTGGTCACAGCGACTGCAGGACCAGGGAGCAGCTGGTGAGTGAGTGCCTGCAGAGCACAACACAGCACAACCAACCTGTGCTCCCAGGGCAGTGAGAAAACCCTTCCAAGAGACACAGCATAGTGGAAAATTACTCACTGAGATTAAGAAGCAAACCAAACCACACGGTGTCGACTGAGGTTATCGCGCTAAACACAACAAATCAAACAGAGCTCAAGAAATAGAAGTGGAAAGGGCACTGCAACAAGGGCACTCACCTGACATGGAATCGTAGAATCATTTAGGTTGGAAAAGAGCTTTAATATCATCCAGTCTGACCGTTCCCCAGCAGTGCCAAGGCCACCACTAACCCCTGGCACCGAGGCCTTGTCTACACAGGGTGTGAACACGTGCAGGGACGGTGACTCCAGCACTGCCCTGAGAAGCCTGTTCCACTGTTTGACAGCCCTTTCAGCTGGCATCTGTAGGACAGCTCCAACCAGAGAACCCCAAAACTCCTGGCAGGTCTCCTATGCTATTGTCCCAAAGGACTCTCCCACCCAGAAGCAGGTTTGTGGCAGTGTGGGGATGAAGAGCTCCAGTGAACCCATGTTTGGCTCGCTCCACAGAGAAGATCTGAACAGCCTCTAAATATGATGCATTCCAGCATTTTAATGCTAATTCTCATATTCTAGCCAGAACAATCTCAACAAATGAGGCTGCCCGCTCTTTATCTAAAGCCAGCCTAAGGAAAATGAGATGTTTGCTCTTCTTTTATTAGGAAGGAAATTAAACCAGCAACTAATAATTTAGCTGTAGGTAAACTCCAGAGGATTATCATCAAGTTTTCCACAACAACCAAACCTCTCCTCCTGGCTCCAGCTGTGAGCACAGGACAAGCCACCCCTGCTCTGGGAGAGGGGAACAAGGTGTCCACACAAACTCAGCAGTGTTAATTGCAGTTCCAAACCCACCACAGAAGATAAGCTGGTCTCATCATCACCCTCTGAGTCACTGGCTCGTGAACAAGTGAGCTCGTCCTTCTTTGCCTCATGTGCATGCCTGAATTACATGGAAAACCATTCGTTTTCCTTCTTTCCCCATCTCCAAACCTGGATCCAAGAGTGACAGGCACTGAGAAGAGTCCTTGGGTTATGGTGTTCATCAGGAGCATCCAGAATCCTGATGCACCCACTTCAGAGCAGGGATTTGAGCTTGCAGCCTCATACCTCCAGCGAGACTCCTGATCCCAGAGGTATCAGCCTTTCCTTTGGATCCCCTTGGCCTCACCAGCTCCATCACAGCCACAACATTGCTCCTGAAGCTTTGTTTGACTAACTGCCTCTTTTCCCCTTCAAAGCCAAACCCAAACCCTCACCCATCCAACAGCTCCCAGGCCTCATGCAGGATGCAGGCTGAGATGTCTGCTACAAAATTCCCAGGGTTACACTTCATCTGAAAGTCCCCTTTTCCTGTAGCAGAGCTTCACAACCGTGCCCGGTCCCTGCTGTCATTTACACTGGTGGAGCAAGCCAAATATTGCATCAGTTACAATAACAGAGATCAGGAGCAAAGCAATAACTGCATTTAATTAGTCTAAGGCAATATTGACTCCCAGCGCTGTTTCACCTGGCTGGATTTTGCAAGGCAAGTCACCATACACCCTGAACTCCAGATTATACAGTGGTGTTTGCAGACACAGTCCTCCTGCCACGCTTCTTGCAAAGCCTTTCTGTGGTTATTAAGGCATTTGTATTGAAGCACAGCACCAAAGGGGGCTGACAAGAAACCTGGAGCTCCCTTCCAACGCTAATGCCTTTGTCCAAAGCCCCTCTCCAGGTTTCCTGGAGCCCCTTTAGGCACTGGAGCTGCTGTAAGGTCTCCCCCTAAGGAGCCTTCTCTTCTCCAGGCTGAACAAACATGGTATCCCAGCCCGGCCCACCCCGAACCTGCCACTTCAGACCATGCAGCCTGTGCTGCAGCTAAAAGCCACTCTTTCAGCTCAAGCAGAACTTCTCAGCCTAATACCCCTCACAAACCAGATTTATCTTCTCATTTGAAAATGAAATGTCTGCCTGTTGCCTGTTGTTGCTATAACATCCTTCTTTAGCAGACTTGTTTATAAAATTCACATTATCAAGCTCAATGTGGCAAGATGTAGTTTCTTATCTTCCCAGCAACAAACCCCCGATTATTCCAAAACCAGGCGCCAGACGGACTTTTCCAGCACCATCACAAGTTGCAGCCGAGCTCTGCCACTTCCCATAGAATCCCAGACTGGTCTGGGTTGGAAGGGACCTTAAAGTTCATCCAGTCCCAACCCCTGCCACAGGCGGGGACACCTCCCCACTAGAGCAGGTTGCTCCAAGCCCCTGTGTCCAACCTGGCCTTGCACTATTTATCCACAGACTTCCAGGAGTCTGCCCAGCCATTCTGATGGACCAAGAGGGAACACAGCCCCTTGCACCGCAGGGGGACAGCACAGCACAGGGACAGCTCCAATGTCACCATCCACTTCACATGCACTTGGCTTTAAAGCCATTTATCAGCTCCAGATTCTTGCTGCCACAGAAACATCACTCACAACCCTACCAACTGGACCTCTGGCTTTTCTAGAAGTCTTACTTAATTATGTATCATCACTCACTAAATAAATCACAGCACCTCCTGCACCTCCATGTGGCACACATGGGATCGCCAGGCCAGCCAGCAGACCTTCCCCAGGAACCACGTGTACTCACACTGGGAACCAAGCTGAGTCTCCCTGGGGAAGAACAGCTCTGGATACTTGGGCAGTTAGCTGGAAAAGAAATCACCAAGACATTCAATGGAAGGGTCCATAACACAACATGGAGCTCCTGGGAAACCCTTGGGAATGATCCCAGTGATGTCTATTTGCTGACAGTATTTTGCAACCAGATTTTTCTCCACAGGGCATCAACTTCTGGCCAAAAACTCCATCCATACAATACTAATTTAAGACCATGGTATAGCTGCTTCTATTCCTGTTGTGCTTGTCAAGTGCAGATTTCCATACCATCTGCTGGCACCACGAGCTGTAAGATGCTCAATAAACACACTGCAGCATTTCAGGACAAACTTTAGTCACTTCTCTGCTTCCAACAGCAGAGCTAGAAGCTTTACCCTGTTTTGTTCTGCACCCATCACACCACCAAGCTTCTGTTTCCCGTGATGCTAAACGTTACACTGACAATCATTTGGGGGTTGATTAGCAAAGACTGACACTATTCGCACTGAAACCAAGTGCAACTTGCAGCCCCAAACTCCTTTGAAGTTTGAGATTTAAGCAAACCCAGGTATTTCCATAGCAATGGCCGGAATGCCACAAGAAGAGGATGATGCTTTGGCAGCAGAGAGGAGGGACTGGTGGGGAGGAGGGAGCTCCTGTGGCACATAGATCTCATCTCCCTGAACACCAAGAAGGAAGATGAAGGCAAGAGGAAAGCAGCATTAAACCTGCTCTGAATATGAAGGATCAAGCCAGAGGCTTCCGGAGCACGAGAGCACTTCTGCACATCACTGCTTTTATCTTCAAAAGGAGAGAAAATGGTCCCCAGCGATTAGTAATACCCTTTTCAGAAGAGATCGATGCAGGCAATCAAGAAATGCTGCATTAAAGCCATCTGTTTACTTTTGATATAGGAACATTTGGAAAAGGCTGTCCCGGGTGCTCGAGAGGCATCAGGAGGTCCCTCTGCAAATAGCAGCTTTCATTACAAACCTGCAGCTTATCATCCTCATCTTCATTTTGCCTGAAGAGTTTTGACAGCTCCGCAAAGGCCTTTTCTCTTTCACTTGGCCTCCAGAACACTTAAAGCGATCAGCATGAATTTTTCAAATCCTACCAACATTAAATTAATTTCCAATTTTCTGCCAGTGCAGGGTGAAACCCTGGCACCGGCACCCACAGCCTGAGAGCTGGGAACCAGGGGCACACAGAAAACCAACCCAGGCTGCAGAAACACTGCGCTTCCCAATCGCTCCGTGTCACTTAGCCACAACCAACCAATACGGCTGCGTAGCGGGGGCACCGCACTTGAAGGGTGGGAGGAAGAGAGGCTCCCTGTTGTCCCTATGATATATGATGATGGG